AAGTAGACTATTTCTGGTGATGTTTGACCTTTTAAAACTTTTGCTTTGCACCCTCGTGCTCATTTGAACGGGTCGGTAGAATGTGGAAGAAGAAACTATTTGATGTGTGTTAAGCAAGTGCCGTGTGAGGTGTTTCCTAAATTGATTGTTGGTAATGTAGTAACTCCATGGTGTTTTGGGTTATTTCTACTACTCAAATAAACATCGACTGGTGTTGAAAAAACCTACCCCTCCAAATTACTCTACTGACAACACTGCCATCTATTAGAAACTTCAATTGTCCTTTCTTTCAGTATTTCCTTATCTCGTGAAATGCCAGATTAGAATATCTACAAATTACTGCTACACCAAAGTAGGTGTGAATTCTGGCTTTCGACTGGCCCACCGGACCACTGCCTTTATATTGTAGCAGACCCGCTGCTATTTCTGCTGGCCACGGACCAAAGGACAAGCAGTGTAGTCCATTCTTTTGAAAAAGCTTCCACGTTTGTTCAAACTGTAGAGATGTGTGGAATCCAAGATTGATGTGAGCGAGGGGAGATCACTCTTAATCCCATGTCCGCCTCGCCTGATGGAGGTGAGTGAAGTGCTCGTAATATATCCCATGTGGTGACACTTGTTTTAAAGTGGAAAGGCCAGGTTTGATTCGCACTCACTTGAAAGGGAACCACAATAACTGTTTCATAAGAAATGATGAGTAGTTACGTTTAAATATTTAACATTTGTTTTCATTAACAAGTGTTCGAAAGACCTGTCCTCATACAACTGTCGCCACATACAGGAATGTCTATAATCTTCAAGGTAGCCCCACGCATACACGAATCTGCAGGTATTTGCCAGTACAGCTCATACATTTAGGAGACAGCAACATAGCCATATAGGGGCAAATATCAAGCTGTTTTACAATATCAGGATGGTTTTATGTCTCAAGATCAGAGGCCGGGGATGTGGCCTGATGCCGATATTGCGATGTCGCTGTCCCCTAGATCATTATTAGCTCTAAGGAAGGAACACAGTAGTGAAAACAGACGACTTGTATGTACATTACAGAAATATTTATTCAGATGACAATAGGTCGAAAGTAATATGCCAAAAGAGAGATCCAAATTACGGGGCCAAAATAGTATATATAGCATCACCTTGTGCGATTAAAGATCATCAATTATGTGAAAAATAAGCCAAAACGTAAGCCAAAGATGGGCCAAAATGGTGTGTCTAAAATGTGCCAAAATGAGAGGATGCATATTAAACAGCTCTCTCTCTCCTTCATTTACTCTCTCAATCTCACTCATTTACTGTCACTATATCAAACTCACTCTAAATCTTTCTGTCACTCTCTCTCAACCGTGCACGCTCTCTCTCTTATTTACTCTGAATCTCTCTCAATTACTCTCACGATCTCAATCTCTCTCTCTAAATCTTACTCTCTCAACCGTTCAAGCTCTCTCTCTCTCTCTCTCTCTCTCTCTCTCTCTCTCTCTCTCTCTCTCTCTCTCTCTCTCTCTCTCTCTCTCTCACTCTCACCTATACATATATCCACTTACTCACTCACTCACTCACTCATTCACTCACACACATTCAGACATTAAAAGGATAAGGAGTCTACGAGAAGATCTTCCTAAAGAAGGCAGCCGCTCTCGTCAGCGCCTTTCTCAAGGGATGAATCTCTCGGTCATCCACGAAGCTGTGGTCATCCTCGTCCTCGTACACCCAGTAGTCACTTTCATCGTCGTCACTTGGGGCAGGATAGTGGTCGGCGTGATTGATGGTGACGGGGGCGGGGAGCGTCTCGCCGTAGACGGGGCGGGCCCAGAACGGAGTGAAGACACTCAGGGGGTCGGGGAAACGGGAAAGGGACACAGCTTGGGAACGCTACTCATCGAGGGGAGGGAGGGAGAAAGTAAGGCAAGTGAGACAGAACATCAGGAGATTTGCTAAGAAAACAAATCACACTATATTGTAGGCAATGGACATACTTAATAGTAACAAAACAGCTATAGCAGACTGAAGAAGTTAGGGAGTGCATGTAAAATACATACACAGTCGGACTCCTCATCTTGAGACGGCCACAAACTCACAGCCGCAGGAGTACCATAATACCGAATTATGTCCTCCCGAGCTGGAAAAGAAAAGCAAAGCTCCGTTAAATGTACGACGACGGCTACTTTTAAAAAATCTAGTATATTTTGAGTTCCGTACAAATACATTTTACCCCCTATTTAGTATTGGCCTAGTATTGTAATATTAGAGTCAATACACGTTTACCAAGAACAAATCAGAACAATCATATGTACCAGAGATACTGGAGGAAGGTCAGGCAGATAGTCTGGTGTATTTAGCTGCTAGAAAGCTCTTTTAGATTTGGTCATTTCTATTTGATTTGAATCTATGTGGCACACATCGGCTAAACAGTTATCCAGCTACCTGGGGTTCTAAAACGAGACAGTTAACGAATAAATTGGGTCCACAACTTCTAAACACGTAATACAAGCTATCTAAAATGTGTATGCTACATCGTCCGACACTGTAATACACCAACATGTGTCATCACAGCCTACGAAATGAATTTCAAAATCAATCACTTTGAATTGAAACAATTGCAAATGGCGGCCGCCATCTTCAGTCCCAATACGGCTGCCTAACTACGACGAATTTCACCACTAATTTAACATCTTAACACTTTAAAGTCGAATAATTGGGATCCTAAATACCTTGAATGTGAAGCCTTGTATTCATCTTGGACTTGAAAATGCTTGAAAAGATACAGTAGTGAGCACAACGTGGAGATCAACGGAGCAAAAGCGATCGTGATTCTGTTGAAAACAGAAGGGGACGTTGAGAACGGCAACGGTAACTACGTTACGGAGAACTCAGAACGAGGCGTCATCGTCAGCTTCCGGCGTGGTAAAGGCGGCCTAGCCTCATGGCATTGTTAAAGGTGAAAGCAACCGGGATAGCTTTCGGCTGGACACCAGACGTAGCTAACATAAGTATCATCAATTCCAGCATTTGGTTTGGCAACTCGGGAGACTCAAAGTGCAAACTTAGATCTGAAACAAACTATACACATGTTTGTGGCTTGAAAAAAATGTTTTGTGAAAACTATGTTTATTTGGATAAAATAATCAGTGCAAGAAATTAATCTCAAACGTTTACTAGCCTAAACAGTGATATCGTATTTGGACATCCCTAAAAACCTGAAATTCTTGTAGCCCTTCAGGATGTCTTTCATAGCAGACAAACTGACTCGGGGTAGCGGGCTAGTGACAATTTTCATCCCTGATGATCACAGTGGGATGTTGGAATTATTCCCTTGTCAGCTGGGATTAAATATTAGATGGCGCTGCTATATGTACCATGATGAACAGCGACAGTTCTTACTTAGAACCACGATGTCGACTGAAAATATTTTTTTTAAATATGGGAAATTCAAAATGAAAAATAAACTGCAATATATGTAGTATCGTCTGTGATTAAAAGTAGACTATTTCTGGTGATGTTTGACCTTTTAAAACTTTTGCATTGCACCCTCGTGCTCATTTGAACGGGTCGGTAGAATGTGGAAGAAGAAACTATTTGATGTGTGTTAAGCAAGTGCCGTGTGAGGTGTTTCCTAAATTGATTGTTGGTTATGTAGTAACTCCATGGTGTTTTGGGTTATTTCTACTACTCAAATAAACATCGACTGGTGTTGAAAAAACCTACCCCTCCAAAATACTCTACTGACAACACTGCCATCTATTAGAAACTTCAATTGTCCTTTCTCTCAGTATTTCCTTATCTCGTGAAATGCCAGATTAGAATATCTACAAATTACTGCTACACCAAAGTAGGTGTGAATTCTGGCTTTCGACTGGCCCACCGGACCACTGCCTTTATATTGTAGCAAACCCGCTGCTATTTCTGCTGGCCACGGACCAAAGGACAAGCAGTGTAGTCCATTCCTTTGAAAAAGCTTCCACGTTTGTTCAAACTGTAGAGATGTGTGGAATCCAAGATTGATGTGAGCGAGGGGAGATCACTCTTAACCCCATGTCCGCCTCGCCTGATGGAGGTGAGTGAAGTGCTCGTAATATATCCCATGTGGTGACACTTGTTTTAAAGTGGAAAGGCCAGGTTTGATTCGCACTCACTTGAAAGGGAACCACAATAACTGTTTCATAAGAAATGATGAGTAGTTACGTTTAAATATTTAACATTTTTTTTCATTAAAAAGTGTTATAAAGACCTGTCCTCATACAACTGTCGCCACATACAGGAATGTCTATAATCTTCAAGGTAGCCCCACGCATACACGAATCTGCAGGTATTTGCCAGTACAGCTCATACATTAAGGAGACAGCAACATAGCCATATAGGGGCAAATATCAAGCTGTTTCACAATATCAGGATGGTTTTATGTGTCAAGATCAGAGGCCGGGGATGTGGCCTGATGCCGATATTGCGATGTCGCTGTCCCCTAGATCATTATTAGCTCTAAGGAAGGAACACAGTAGTGAAAACAGACGACTTGTATGTACATTACAGAAATATTTATTCAGATGACAATAGGTCGAAAGTAAAATGCCAAAAGAGAGATCCAAATTACGGGGCCAAAATAGTATATATAGCATCACCTTGTGCGATTAAAGATCATCAATTATGTGAAAAATAAGCCAAAACGTAAGCCAAAGATGGGCCAAAATGGTGTGTCTAAAATGTGCCAAAATGAGAGGATGCATATTAAACAGCTCTCTCTCTCCTTCATTTACTCTCTCAATCTCACTCATTTACTGTCACTATATCAAACTCTCTCTAAATCTTTCTGTCACTCTCTCTCAACCGTGCACGCTCTCTCTCTTATTTACTCTGAATCTCTCTCAATTACTCTCACGATCTCAATCTCTCTCTCTAAATCTTACTCTCTCAACCGTTCAAGCTCTCTCTCTCTCTCTCTCTCTCTCTCTCTCTCTATCTCTCTCTCTCTATCTCTCTCTCTCACCTATACATATATCCACTTACTCACTCACTCACTCACTCACACACACACACATTCAGACATTAAAAGGATAAGGAGTCTACGAGAAGATCTTCCTAAAGAAGGCAGCCGCTCTCGTCAGCGCCTTTCTCAAGGGATGAATCTCTCGGTCATCCACGAAGCTGTGGTCATCCTCGTCCTCGTACACCCAGTAGTCACTTTCATCGTCGTCACTTGGGGCAGGATAGTGGTCGGCGTGATTGATGGTGACGGGGGCGGGGAGCGTCTCGCCGTAGACGGGGCGGGCCCAGAACGGAGTGAAGACACTCAGGGGGTCGGGGAAACGGGAAAGGGACACAGCTTGGGAACGCTACTCATCGAGGGGAGGGAGGGAGAAAGTAAGGCAAGTGAGACAGAAACATCGGGAGATTTGCTAAGAAAACAAATCACACTATATTGTAGGCAATGGACATACTTAATAGTAACAAAACAGCTATAGCAGACTGAAGAAGTTAGGGAGTGCATGTAAAATACATACACAGTCGGACTCCTCATCTTGAGACGGCCACAAACTCACAGCCGCAGGAGTACCATAATACCGAATTATGTCCTCCCGAGCTGGAAAAGAAAAGCAAAGCTCCGTTAAATGTACGACGACGGCTACTTTTAAAAAATCTAGTATATTTTGAGTTCCGTACAAATACATTTTACCCCCTATTTAGTATTGGCCTAGTATTGTAATATTAGAGTCAATACACGTTTACCAAGAACAAATCAGAACAATCATATGTACCAGAGATACTGGAGGAAGGTCAGGCAGATAGTCTGGTGTATTTAGCTGCTAGAAAGCTCTTTTAGATTTGGTCATTTCTATTTGATTTGAATCTATGTGGCACACATCGGCTAAACAGTTATCCAGCTACCTGGGGTTCTAAAACGAGACAGTTAACGAATAAATTGGGTCCACAACTTCTAAACACGTAATACAAGCTATCTAAAATGTGTATGCTACATCGTCCGACACTGTAATACACCAAACATGTGTCATCACAGCCTACGAAATGAATTTCAAAATCAATCACTTTGAATTGAAACAATTGCAAATGGCGGCCGCCATCTTCAGTCCCAATACGGCTGCCTAACTACGACGAATTTCACCACTAATTTAACATCTTAACACTTTAAAGTCGAATAATTGGGATCCTAAATACCTTGAATGTGAAGCCTTGTATTCATCTTGGACTTGAAAATGCTTGAAAAGATACAGTAGTGAGCACAACGTGGAGATCAACGGAGCAAAAGCGATCGTGATTCTGTTGAAAACAGAAGGGGACGTTGAGAACGGCAACGGTAACTACGTTACGGAGAACTCAGAACGAGGCGTCATCGTCAGCTTCCGGCGTGGTAAAGGCGGCCTAGCCTCATGGCATTGTTAAAGGTGAAAGCAACCGGGATAGCTTTCGGCTGGACACCAGACGTAGCTAACATAAGTATCATCAATTCCAGCATTTGGTTTGGCAACTCGGGAGACTCAAAGTGCAAACTTAGATCTGAAACAAACTATACACATGTTTGTGGCTTGAAAAAAATGTTTTGTGAAAACTATGTTTATTTGGATAAAATAATCAGTGCAAGAAATTAATCTCAAACGTTTACTAGCCTAAACAGTGATATCGTATTTGGACATCCCTAAAAACCTGAAATTCTTGTAGCCCTTCAGGATGTCTTTCATAGCAGACAAACTGACTCGGGGTAGCGGGCTAGTGACAATTTTCATCCCTGATGATCACAGTGGGATGTTGGAATTATTCCCTTGTCAGCTGGGATTAAATATTAGATGGCGCTGCTATATGTACCATGATGAACAGCGACAGTTCTTACTTAGAACCACGATGTCGACTGAAAATATTTTTTTTAAATATGGGAAATTCAAAATGAAAAATAAACTGCAATATATGTAGTATCGTCTGTGATTAAAAGTAGACTATTTCTGGTGATGTTTGACCTTTTAAAACTTTTGCATTGCACCCTCGTGCTCATTTGAACGGGTCGGTAGAATGTGGAAGAAGAAACTATTTGATGTGTGTTAAGCAAGTGCCGTGTGAGGTGTTTCCTAAATTGATTGTTGGTTATGTAGTAACTCCATGGTGTTTTGGGTTATTTCTACTACTCAAATAAACATCGACTGGTGTTGAAAAAACCTACCCCTCCAAAATACTCTACTGACAACACTGCCATCTATTAGAAACTTCAATTGTCCTTTCTCTCAGTATTTCCTTATCTCGTGAAATGCCAGATTAGAATATCTACAAATTACTGCTACACCAAAGTAGGTGTGAATTCTGGCTTTCGACTGGCCCACCGGACCACTGCCTTTATATTGTAGCAAACCCGCTGCTATTTCTGCTGGCCACGGACCAAAGGACAAGCAGTGTAGTCCATTCCTTTGAAAAAGCTTCCACGTTTGTTCAAACTGTAGAGATGTGTGGAATCCAAGATTGATGTGAGCGAGGGGAGATCACTCTTAACCCCATGTCCGCCTCGCCTGATGGAGGTGAGTGAAGTGCTCGTAATATATCCCATGTGGTGACACTTGTTTTAAAGTGGAAAGGCCAGGTTTGATTCGCACTCACTTGAAAGGGAACCACAATAACTGTTTCATAAGAAATGATGAGTAGTTACGTTTAAATATTTAACATTTTTTTTCATTAAAAAGTGTTATAAAGACCTGTCCTCATACAACTGTCGCCACATACAGGAATGTCTATAATCTTCAAGGTAGCCCCACGCATACACGAATCTGCAGGTATTTGCCAGTACAGCTCATACATTAAGGAGACAGCAACATAGCCATATAGGGGCAAATATCAAGCTGTTTCACAATATCAGGATGGTTTTATGTGTCAAGATCAGAGGCCGGGGATGTGGCCTGATGCCGATATTGCGATGTCGCTGTCCCCTAGATCATTATTAGCTCTAAGGAAGGAACACAGTAGTGAAAACAGACGACTTGTATGTACATTACAGAAATATTTATTCAGATGACAATAGGTCGAAAGTAAAATGCCAAAAGAGAGATCCAAATTACGGGGCCAAAATAGTATATATAGCATCACCTTGTGCGATTAAAGATCATCAATTATGTGAAAAATAAGCCAAAACGTAAGCCAAAGATGGGCCAAAATGGTGTGTCTAAAATGTGCCAAAATGAGAGGATGCATATTAAACAGCTCTCTCTCTCCTTCATTTACTCTCTCAATCTCACTCATTTACTGTCACTATATCAAACTCTCTCTAAATCTTTCTGTCACTCTCTCTCAACCGTGCACGCTCTCTCTCTTATTTACTCTGAATCTCTCTCAATTACTCTCACGATCTCAATCTCTCTCTCTAAATCTTACTCTCTCAACCGTTCAAGCTCTCTCTCTCTCTCTCTCTCTCTCTCTCTCTCTCTCTCTATCTCTCTCTCTCTATCTCTCTCTCTCACCTATACATATATCCACTTACTCACTCACTCACTCACTCACACACACACACATTCAGACATTAAAAGGATAAGGAGTCTACGAGAAGATCTTCCTAAAGAAGGCAGCCGCTCTCGTCAGCGCCTTTCTCAAGGGATGAATCTCTCGGTCATCCACGAAGCTGTGGTCATCCTCGTCCTCGTACACCCAGTAGTCACTTTCATCGTCGTCACTTGGGGCAGGATAGTGGTCGGCGTGATTGATGGTGACGGGGGCGGGGAGCGTCTCGCCGTAGACGGGGCGGGCCCAGAACGGAGTGAAGACACTCAGGGGGTCGGGGAAACGGGAAAGGGACACAGCTTGGGAACGCTACTCATCGAGGGGAGGGAGGGAGAAAGTAAGGCAAGTGAGACAGAAACATCGGGAGATTTGCTAAGAAAACAAATCACACTATATTGTAGGCAATGGACATACTTAATAGTAACAAAACAGCTATAGCAGACTGAAGAAGTTAGGGAGTGCATGTAAAATACATACACAGTCGGACTCCTCATCTTGAGACGGCCACAAACTCACAGCCGCAGGAGTACCATAATACCGAATTATGTCCTCCCGAGCTGGAAAAGAAAAGCAAAGCTCCGTTAAATGTACGACGACGGCTACTTTTAAAAAATCTAGTATATTTTGAGTTCCGTACAAATACATTTTACCCCCTATTTAGTATTGGCCTAGTATTGTAATATTAGAGTCAATACACGTTTACCAAGAACAAATCAGAACAATCATATGTACCAGAGATACTGGAGGAAGGTCAGGCAGATAGTCTGGTGTATTTAGCTGCTAGAAAGCTCTTTTAGATTTGGTCATTTCTATTTGATTTGAATCTATGTGGCACACATCGGCTAAACAGTTATCCAGCTACCTGGGGTTCTAAAACGAGACAGTTAACGAATAAATTGGGTCCACAACTTCTAAACACGTAATACAAGCTATCTAAAATGTGTATGCTACATCGTCCGACACTGTAATACACCAAACATGTGTCATCACAGCCTACGAAATGAATTTCAAAATCAATCACTTTGAATTGAAACAATTGCAAATGGCGGCCGCCATCTTCAGTCCCAATACGGCTGCCTAACTACGACGAATTTCACCACTAATTTAACATCTTAACACTTTAAAGTCGAATAATTGGGATCCTAAATACCTTGAATGTGAAGCCTTGTATTCATCTTGGACTTGAAAATGCTTGAAAAGATACAGTAGTGAGCACAACGTGGAGATCAACGGAGCAAAAGCGATCGTGATTCTGTTGAAAACAGAAGGGGACGTTGAGAACGGCAACGGTAACTACGTTACGGAGAACTCAGAACGAGGCGTCATCGTCAGCTTCCGGCGTGGTAAAGGCGGCCTAGCCTCATGGCATTGTTAAAGGTGAAAGCAACCGGGATAGCTTTCGGCTGGACACCAGACGTAGCTAACATAAGTATCATCAATTCCAGCATTTGGTTTGGCAACTCGGGAGACTCAAAGTGCAAACTTAGATCTGAAACAAACTATACACATGTTTGTGGCTTGAAAAAAATGTTTTGTGAAAACTATGTTTATTTGGATAAAATAATCAGTGCAAGAAATTAATCTCAAACGTTTACTAGCCTAAACAGTGATATCGTATTTGGACATCCCTAAAAACCTGAAATTCTTGTAGCCCTTCAGGATGTCTTTCATAGCAGACAAACTGACTCGGGGTAGCGGGCTAGTGACAATTTTCATCCCTGATGATCACAGTGGGATGTTGGAATTATTCCCTTGTCAGCTGGGATTAAATATTAGATGGCGCTGCTATATGTACCATGATGAACAGCGACAGTTCTTACTTAGAACCACGATGTCGACTGAAAATATTTTTTTTAAATATGGGAAATTCAAAATGAAAAATAAACTGCAATATATGTAGTATCGTCTGTGATTAAAAGTAGACTATTTCTGGTGATGTTTGACCTTTTAAAACTTTTGCATTGCACCCTCGTGCTCATTTGAACGGGTCGGTAGAATGTGGAAGAAGAAACTATTTGATGTGTGTTAAGCAAGTGCCGTGTGAGGTGTTTCCTAAATTGATTGTTGGTTATGTAGTAACTCCATGGTGTTTTGGGTTATTTCTACTACTCAAATAAACATCGACTGGTGTTGAAAAAACCTACCCCTCCAAAATACTCTACTGACAACACTGCCATCTATTAGAAACTTCAATTGTCCTTTCTCTCAGTATTTCCTTATCTCGTGAAATGCCAGATTAGAATATCTACAAATTACTGCTACACCAAAGTAGGTGTGAATTCTGGCTTTCGACTGGCCCACCGGACCACTGCCTTTATATTGTAGCAAACCCGCTGCTATTTCTGCTGGCCACGGACCAAAGGACAAGCAGTGTAGTCCATTCCTTTGAAAAAGCTTCCACGTTTGTTCAAACTGTAGAGATGTGTGGAATCCAAGATTGATGTGAGCGAGGGGAGATCACTCTTAACCCCATGTCCGCCTCGCCTGATGGAGGTGAGTGAAGTG